AGTTTTACAGCTTTGCTGTTCTCGCATGAAATAAAGGACATCCTGAGCAAATGAACTAAAACACAGAGGAACAAATATAAAACAATGAAGTGTGGCAGAGCTTGTATAAATTTAACTAACATCCATAAATGACTGTTGCAAACCTCTGGGTTTTCCTACACTGTAATATCATTGCTTTAATCTTTATTAAACCCGGAAGTGAAACTGCTGAGATTAAAGGAGAATGCCCTGGGGCAATAGAGGTGGTACTAATTTAACATGTTTTTCAATAGCAGGAGAAACCAGAGCTACCTGGGGAAACAAGCGCAGCAGCATAGACAACACGCAAAATTCACACAGAAGCAGCTGCTTGGGGGCCCCCAAATCAGCAGAGGGCCCCCAGTTAATTTAATAAATATGTTAACTGACCGGTTTAATCATTCACTGTGAGCGCTGAGCTTTTGCAAGTTATTTATTATTAACATTCACTAACAATAACAACAATAACAGAAATGTCAAGGGGTGGTGAGCTCAGGGGATATTGTATGGAAACAGCAATTACAGTGTTAACCTATTTTTACTCTCTAGACAGTTAGTTTCCATTTAATTTATTTAACACTGTTTTTAAATTTGCGCTGTTACATAAAATAATATTTCAGTCTGTGGTAAATTCTTTGTGACTGTGCTGCCCTTTTGCACAATTTAAAAAAAATTAAAACAGTGAACTTGTTTTAAAAATCATCATCTGCTTGTTTATTGTATTTCTTTCCAGCACAGAATAACTAAGCCATTAGAATTGTTGTGTTAGATGCGTAATGCAGAAATGGTTTGGCAAGGGCAATATAGCTAATAGTGGCTTTGCTGATGTGGGTGGCTGAGGGCCTTTAATCAAATCCTGCTCAAGGCCTTGTAAAACTTTAGGCCACCTCTGTGTACGAGGCTTTGCAATTTACCACATAAAATCACCTTTAAATAATTTTAATTAATTCAAAATGGAAAAAAAAAACAAGTAAGTGGAACTGGAGTTTATTTTATACAAACTACTGAATTACTTCTTAAAGTACATTTTGAGTTATGATAATCTAATCCAATGTTTTGTATTTTTATATTAAAACCTGAATTTTATTGACGTTAGCAAAAACAATTTGACAGAAAAAACATGGCTGATAATGGCGTCTCTCAGGGATCAACACCGGGCCCACTGTTAATTACTTTCAACGTGCATTTATTCAGTGTAATTTCCCACTCAGAAGTGTAATGTACATTTTTATGCTGATGATGCTGTCTTGACTGCCACTACCAAACTTTCTCCAGCTTAGCCTTTCATGATTTCAGACCTTTAAATTAAAACTGGTTGCAAGTGATACATTAAAGTTTCATAAATACTTGGCTATTCAGTTGATTCGTAACACTACAAAGCTCTTATTTATATTGTTGACCAGGTATGAATAAATGTAAATGTTTGACTGGTTTCAAATCTTCCTCTGGTCAAATGATAGTGATAAAGAGACTCGGTATATTTCAAAATTCTACCAAGTTTTGATCTAGCTGTACATACTGTAGTTCTTTTGTGGCCTAGACCCTTTCCTGACTACATTTAGATATGCATTTATAGATGGAAATAAAAAGACTTTTTGTATCGATAAAGACTGACTAACATGTCTGCATTAAAACTGACAGAATAAATGCTGTTTTGAAGTGTACAAAGTAATGCTAAAACACTTTATTTACCTAGAATTCTTTGCTATTGCTCACCACACGCTAAGATCTCTGAACTTTACAGGTCGATCCTCCAGTCTCTGTTGGTGCCATGGCTGACTCAAGCTGGTGGAGGCTGACCTTCTCACGCAAGAAGAAGTCTGAATCCAAGGTTCTGTATGAAATCCCAGCAGAGCATGGCAGTAACACTGGGAACAAAGACCACCCGAGTAGTAACGGCTCTCCAGAACTGGACAGCCAGTTGAATGCCAAACTGGAGAAAATCGTCGATAAATCTGCCACCAAAGGACGCCACGTCAAGGTCTCCAACTCCGGCCGCTACAAGGAGAAGAAGAGGGTCCGCGTCACGCTGGCCGAGAACCCAAATCTGTTTGCAGACAACAACCTCAGTCAAGAGAATCATAAAAAGAAGACAGAGAAATAGCACAGAAAATGCACATACTTGATCAGTAATGTGTCATATACACATAAGAAGCTTCAAAGATGGCTTGAATGTATGCAAACACCACCATGTTGTCCTACATGTACCACTACTGTGCTACTATTCACCACACACAGGTAAACACAAGAAAAAAAGACACTTAAATAAACAACGAGGTGTCAAAATTTAAACATCCACCCGGCAGACGGGAACTAAACACAGCCCTGGACACATTTTTCTCCAGATTTTCTGTCTTTTAACTTTTATATATACTTCCTTGTGCTCACGCTGTTGTTTTATATTTTCAAAAATGACATGAAGGAAAATTTGGGGAATTCTCGCCTCATGATTCAAATGTAACATTGGTGTCATTTAAGTTTTCATTTTTTAATGTTGTAGATGTAATGTTATGTTTCAGGTTTTTATGTTTTGTTAAATGTCAAAGGAAATTTTTATTACATTTTTATGACCAAAGACTTGACGTCACTGATTACATCTGAAACATTATGGTGGATGCTTTCAAATATAAAGGCCCCCAAAAGTATCAAGTCATCATTGAAAAGACTTGAATTTCTCAGCTCTAAGAAACAAAATGTTAAAGTAAATTATATGTATTTATTTATATATCTATATACACTTGTCAAGTAAAATATCCCCAAACGGGGAAGGACAAACATCTTTCATCCATCCTTGTTTCCACATGTTCTTAAATGAAAATTATAGATTGTATATAAAAGATTAATGTAACCATTAACGATCACCATGTTGATCTTGTCATCCAAACATGCAACAATGTCAACTTTTTCTCGAGGCAACAGTCAGTTTGACAACATATTTTGCAGCCACAAATATTAAACGTTTACTTGTGAGGAATACATGTGCAAATTACAGCTCTCATTGTCATGAATTCTAAGTTGACACCCTGAAAAATGCTCTCATGTTTCACATATGAAAACATCTAAATTCACGTTGGTTTCCTTGGATGTAGAAGTTGGATAAGAGGGTGGAGTTCTAAATTATCAGCTAGCCCTAGAAAGCCTGATTAGATAGGTGCAGTCATAAACCGCAGAGTTTCGATAATGTTCAGTATCGGTCAGTACAGCTGATCACACAGGAAGAAAAGTGGCAGAAATTCCTTTAAAATGCTCTAAAAGGCACCAACATGGTTTAGATGTTTTGAAATGTACATGGCAAGCTACAGTTGCCTATATCAATGTCTGTCACTCCAGCCACAACCGTAATAATGCAAGCTTTAAGCCTTAATATGCTTTAAAAAAGTCAGTTCTTTAAAAGAAAATCATCCTCTCATAGTTGCTGTTAAGGGGGGAATTAGCTACAGGGACAAAATTCAAGCTGTAAATTCAGACTGACTCATATCTGGAGCCAGGCTTTTAGAGGAACTGCAGGTTTTGGCTTTGTTTTTCGAGCCTGGAGGTTGCCCCAGGTGACCACGGTACAATTTATGGATACAATCATATCAGAAAACATGACTTGGGTATGCTAATTGTGCTTTTGTACAAATCAAATATCTGTATATGTCATTGTGAAATAACTTCATGCTGTTTTGTTGGTTTAACTGTCCAAATAACTCCTGCAGCCATTGCATGTGACACATCAACAACAAGAAATGCTGTCTGTAATTTTTTTCTGAGATGCTTTTTTGTTTGTAATAAATATAAAAGTTGTTAACATGTAAGATTTTCTTCTGTTTGTGCTGGAGTCTACAGCGAGGAGAGCTTTTAACATGCAGATGGTGGCCTGTTTAAACGCGATGATCTTGGTGAGGTCGTTCTTTGGGGTTAGTGAGCTGTTCAGCCTGTTTGTGTTAGCTGTGCTACTGACATCTGCTGGTCAAACGCACACTCTGTCCTCAGTTGCAAATTAAAACTTTATTAATAGCTATTTTCCCACAGTTACTTCAAGCTATATACCACAATTTCATCCTCAAACAATACAGGACACACAACAGTTGGCACAAATGACATCACGTGCTCTTTTAATGTCACTATTAAAAGGCAGTCACTGCCATAGATTTAAGCCTGATACAATCAATTTAAATTAAGTTAACCACCAGTACAGGTCACATATTTTCCATTTGTAAGTGTAAAATCATATTTGTCACCAAGTAGAAGAAAAATATACTTTAGTTGTTCAGTTAACAGACTTGTGATTTTTTCACGAGTTGCTAACACGACTGAGGCAGTAAACTCTGTCTAGAGACAACAATGAATTTGAAACAAATATTAGTTTTCTCATGAGGAACAAGCTCTCTTTGTCATAAATTCTAAGATGACACATTGAGCATGCTCTCATATTCCCCATATAAAAGCCTCTAAATTCATTTTTATATTTATTGTTCAGGTTATGGCCAAAGATGATGTTCTGAATGCATAATTAGCAAAACAGTCACACTTTTCTTTCTTTCTCAAGCAATTGTCTCAATTTTCCATATTTTCTTTAGAAAACTACACACCTGTACAGAAATAATCACACCAATGGAGAAGAACAGCAGCTAAGTGTTGATGAGTGGAACAGATTGTGCTTTTTAAGAAATAAGAAACAGTTTTCATGTCCTAGAAGGTCAACGACTGCACTGTTAAACAACCACAGCCATACTGTTAATCATTATTTTGAGTGGGTAAAGTTTGCTCCACTTTTTCAGGCCAGTGCCCTTTTTCCATTACAAAGCATGGAAAACTCAAAAGTTGCACAGTCAGATTGTGCCACGCTGCTCCACTTATCCACTTAGCACACATGGTTCACCTCAAAAACGGCACAGTGACATTTGGCTTGTTGATAAACTGCGCACAACAGCACCTATGCAAGGTTATTAATGTGAGGTAAAGATGGTGATCTTTTTAAATCAGTGATAGTCGAGATGAAACATGTCCTTCTCCTTTATTTCACAGCCTGCTGATGCTCCTCATGGGGACAGTCGCTGGTACACCCAGCCTCCCTCTGCAGCGTGCTGAAACTCTCCCAGCTCGGACTCTCCGTCCTTCAGCTTGGTGAAGACGATGCGGTCGTGAAGTCTGTTTGTCTGTCCCTGCCAGAACTCTATTGAAAAAGGCTTTACGATGTAGCCGCCCCTATTGGAAAAGAAAATCATGGGACAGTTAAAGGCAACGAACCGAAAAAGCTTTAAGAAGCCGTACCAACATGTTATTAACTTTAATTAAGAGCAAAGGTTTACCAGTAATCAGGCATAGGCACCTCTGTGTCCTTGTACTTCTCCTCCAGTTCTGCATTTTTCTGCCTCAGATACTGAAAGAAATTGTGAAAACTGAGACTTAGACATTGTACGCATCACCTACAACGTGCAGGTGGAGCAGCTTCGGCGCTTACATCTCTGTTAGGCACAGTAGTGCTTTGTCGGCTCACGACAGCGCCGACCTGGCTGCTCTTTGGCCGGGAGTGGAAATAATCGCAGGAGCTCTGGTAGGGGATCCGCTCCACGGTGCCTTCAATGCGAATCTGAAAATCAAAATTAAATTTAACTTACATTTACTATGAAAATAAAAAGTTTAAAGAAGAACGTAATATTAAAACGTAATAGTAAAATTAAGGTTTCTGCACCTGTCTGTTCAGTGGTTCCCAGTAGAAGACCAGGCATGCATGCGGATTGCTCTCCTGTGGAGAAGAAAGTGATCAGAGGACCCGACAACACAGAAGAAGCCTTAAAGATTCATGGATGAAGTGAAGGAGGACATGCATAGGGTTGTTGTGACAGTGGAGGATGCTGGACACAGGGTGAGATGGAGGCAGACTTTATCAACAAGGGGCGACAAGTGTCAGTATTTGATTTAAGACAAAAAGGAGACAATGCATATAAAAATTCATGCAAAACATTTGAAACCTGATGAATAAAAAATTCCCGCGATATAATTTTTATTTAGAATAATAAAAACAAAGTCTTCAGAAAGCAATCAGTACTTATCAGTAAAAGTATCAGTAAAAGCAAAGAATAAAAATGCATTTTCAAATGTTTTTTTTAAAGATGTCTAAAATCAGTGGATCACCTGCTTCCATCTCACCCTATAACTGGCATCTAACATGAACCTTCTGTGTGGTCTTCTTCTCTTCTTCCTGCCTGGCAGCTCCATAGTCATTATATTTTGTCCATTATATCCACTATCCCTCGTCTGTGTGCGCTAAAACCATCTCAGCCTTGGCTCATGAAGGCATCAAAAACCCTTTGAAACTCTAAAGCAAAGAAATGGCTTGATAACGTGTTCTGCATAAATTATGGGCAAAAATCCAAAGATAAAGAGTTTATTGTCCCCAAAGTCATAGAAATGTATTTCCAAAGCTCAAACCAGTGAATTGGTGCCATTTTTGTTTGTATGACTGATACAGATGTTGATTTGTAATTTTCTGTGCCTGCTAACTACTCGCTTAAGAAATACATTATTGATAAAAGCAAAAGAGCTGGACTCAATAATAGCATTTAAACACAGTAATGCACTATCTGTGAGACAATAACACAGGAAACAGGAAGAATTACACATTTATTCAAAACCACCTGAGGGCAAAAGAAGCAGAGCATGGATGTAGACGGCTGCTGACAGAGTCAGCGATAAAGATGCTTCTTACCAGCTCGCAGCCCTTTCTGCTCTCATAGTTGGTGAAGAAACGGAAACCTTCACTGCTGTAACCTTTCAGGAGGACCATGCGAGCGGACGGACGTCCATCACTGAGTACACAACAGATACGATTAATTGTACAAAACTGTGAAAAGAAATCAGCTCCAATCTGTTCGGGGGGCAGCGTTTCTTACTTGGTGGCAGTGGCGAGGCACATAGCATTGGACTCTCCTATTTCAGGACACTTGGTGGCTTCATCAAACCAGTTTCCAAACTGCTTGATGGGGTCGAGAGACACGAGCTGACTCTCCTCAAAGCACTGGAAACAAAACAACCGATACAGATGTAAAAAAACACAGGAAAACAGCCACTTTTACATAATGCAGGATTCAAATGATTCACTGATGCTTTTGGATTATAGTGAGTACAGGCTGTAGGCAGTATAATTACGATTTAATGAATTATTCAATTGTGTTTATCACTTTTAAACATGCCAGAGAAATATGTCCTATTTAGAGGTCAAAGCTGAGGTGTGAAACATCTGGGGAACACCTGCTTTCTCCAGCTGTATACAGCGTGACCAGATGCAAACTTCCTAAAAGTAAATTTGTGTGGGACAATAATTACACAGCCTTTTATCTGAATGCAACTTTCCAAACAATAAGAATAAAAGGAAGATTTTTGCTCGATAGTATTCTTAAACCCATATTATTTCACAGGCTTGACCCACTCAGTAGTTTTTCCTTCTCTTTTTGGTAGTTTCTATACATCATATCCTGCAGAAATCTGCAGAGCTCATGACTTTGTACTAGTGACTTCCCTTGCACTTTTCCCTGTTAAGCATGGGATAAGTGAAAAAAACTGTTAACTGGCACTTTATCCGGGAAGATATAAGCCAGATTTTATGGGTAATGGTTTTAAATACTAGAGCCAACCAATATGTGGGATATCATCTGAATATGTGGGATGAGGGACAAAGGATAAAAGTGTGTAGCATCATCTACAGCTACAGCTAGGATGTCCCATTTTAATGGTGGTGACAGCACACCATTCATCAATATTTTGTTGTTGTTGTGGTCATTTTTCAGTACTACTCAGGGGTGTGTGTTTCATTAAATGATATCAGTTCATATGAATCTCACACGAAACGTGCTTAAAAACAAAAACAAGGATAGCAGTGTCCCTCACAGCAATAACTTCCCTGTTTTGAACCTCCTGGGGCCTTTCTGTGTTAAGTCTCAATGACCTCAATGTGCCTGCGTGGCTTTTTATATCCAGGTACTCCGGCTCCCAGCCCAAGCACATGCATGTGTAGGTTAACTGATGAAAGCTGAAGATGATAACCAGATTTTGAAGCTACTAAAATAATAGTTAATTACTGTATTCATTTAGCAATGTAGATGAAAAAGTAATTCACTGAAGTAAGACGCAACCCATACGGAAACATTTAACGCAGTGGGATCTGGTCACAGACTCTATCCATGGCAGCCAGATTAGATTCCAGCTGTGCACACTCACTGTATTTTTTTTTTTGCACATCTAATTCTGGGTTCATATCGTGACCTTGCATTTGCAGAGCACTGACAGAGTGGCTTCAGTTACATGACTCAATACATTGTATCCCAACGCAGGTAACTCAGCAGTTTCTCACCTCCAGATCTCCTTTGTACCTCTTCCTCATGTTACTCAGGTCCATACTGGTTCCGCTGCAGTATTTCGAGGTAAAAACGCGCGGCAGCCCTACTATCCTAGTGGCACGAGAGGGCAGATTTCCTCCAATAAAGCAAATATGTCTCAATATAATCGTACTGAGTATGCGCCTCATGCCTGTAAAACACACGCTGACGTAACGCTCCCTTACGTAAAATGTTACGCAAACGAATGCTGTACGAAAATCAGCGATTTTAAAATCACATTTTACTCTACTTATTTAGAAACTATGTAATCTACGGATTTATTTTCATATGAACTAAAAACGCAAACAAACAAAAAAAAACCGAACGTCGGTAATGGTACGTCATTACGCTAGGACGCGTTCGCGTACAAGCACACTTGGAGTCTCTTCTCCGGCATTGCAGCAATTTGCTTATTATTTTAGCCAAATTATTTAGATAATACGTATATGGATACAGGTTATCAGTTTTTAAATGTTTTCCGACGTGTTCGTCACAAAGCACAGCTTCATTTAGGTAATTTTGTTTTCTTTTTACACTTAAAGTTTGTTAAATATGAGGAAGGTTTTCTTTTTGCCGACATGTCAGTAAACGCAGCACGCATGCGTTCGTCACTTTCCTGAATAACGACGTTTTCCTGTGAAAGATGGCGGCGACCTTGTGTTCGAAATTGCTCCCAAAACAGGGTAAAGTACTATACTTATACCATTACTTTTTCTTTTTTAAACATTGCGGTTCTGGTTAGTCTGTCTAATTTTCAGCAACTAGCTACTGTTAGTAGCGTTAGCGGGGACTCAGTTTTTAGCTGTTATTACGCTCAGTTAGTCGATGTTAGCTCCGCAGCGCTCACTGACAGGTTGTACAGCAGACATTTACCTGACATTTGTGGCTTTCAGGATGGCTTCCCCTCACACAGAGTATCCGACACGGGTCCAAGGCTGTGACCCGCCACAGGAAGCCTCTGCACATCCAGAAACAGAAGCTGCTAGCGGTTACTCAGTACATCCCCCCCGCACGGGAGTTTCCTCCAGGCGCTTACCCGTCCCAGACCAAACACGTCCAGGAGGTAACACACCAGCATGTTCAGCCTTTTACTGAAAGCCTGCACTATCGGAACAAGTCTCACTTCATATAGGACTGCTCAGCATTGTGTGCTTATTTCTTGGATTGGCTTAGGTTTACAAAACCTTTGAAATATGTTGCTTAAAAACCGGCATTTGGCATTGCATCCCAAACAACTTTTACCAGGCAGTCAGCAGCTGATGGAGCAGTTTAATAACTGTTGCAAAAGAAATGGGAATATACAACAGTGTTTGTACACGTGCTTAAGGACGTGATAAACTTTATCTTCCACATCTGCTCTTTGTATTTAATTTGCAAGGTAATTGGAAAAGTTGGTTTCATTTAAATATTTGCAATATTATCATATTTATTTTTCGCTTGGTCATTATGAAACCTTTAACTTGCACGGTTACCCTACCCTATCCCATGATGTGACAGAGCATTCTCCTCTGTCACACCAACCCTCTTCATGTCCTCCTTCACTAATTGTCTCTGTGCTCTCCCTCTTTTCTTCTTGCTTGCAGCTCCAACGATCCTTTGTTCAGTATATCCACTATCCCACCTCTAAACATGTCCAAACCTTCTTAACCTTACCCCTCTAAGTTGTCCTTCTCATGTACTCATTTCTAATCCTGTCCATCTCGCTCATTCCCAATGAAAATCTTTACATCTTAAACTTGGCCTCCAGTCTTTTTGTCAGTACTATAGTTTCCAAACCATACATCATAGCAGGTCTCACTAACCTCTTTAAAATCTTACCTTTTACTTGTACTGCTATGCTTCTGTCACCTCGACACATGTCGCCACCCTGCCTGCACTCTTGTGTACTGTCTGTTGCTTTGGATGTCTTTTTTAAAAAGTAGCATAACAACTGTGTATAAAAACTCTGATAGATGTAAAGCTTATTCAGAACTTTATCTACTCTTACCACTTTCAAAGATTAGGTTATTTTTTACCTGAAAGCTTCATCTTTTACAGTACAATACGATATATTTTCTGCTGCTCAGTAGGTAAATGATAAAAACATTTTTTGGAACCAGAATTTTACACATTACAGAATTAATTGGGCTTTTATTTTGGTACTTCAAGCAGATTTTGAAAGTATGCACTTATGTCCTTTTGTTCAAGTAGTAGTCTTTTTTTTCCTGGTTTGGTCTGCAGGTCTCGTGTTTTACTGAGTGTCAATCTCTTCCGTCTCATTCCTTCAGGATAATGATTTGACCTTACTAATGAAGAGGGAGTTGAAGAAGTTGTTTGAGGATTGTAAAATGATCGCCGTGGTCCAGAACAGCAGCAGCAGTGCTGAAGACATGATGACTCTCAGGCACAGACTTTATAAACACAACATCACCGTCAAGTTCTTCCCCAACAAGGTAAGACTGACGTTGTTGATTCTGTGACGTTTCCTATTTATCGGGAATCAAATACGTTTGAGATGTTTCTGAATAATAACATAATAAAACAGCTTTCATTAATCCAAATCTAAGTAATAGACGGTGTTTTTGGTAACATTTTTAGGGTCAGAAAGGACAACAAAGTGTGGATTATATTCTCTTGAATGTTGACAGCTGCACACTCCACGGATGAGTAGTCCTGTAATACTTCTAATGCGTGATTTAGACTTCTGTGGCGAATCTATGTCATAACTTATTTAACCACGCCTTAACCTTCCACGTAACCTGATGTGCACCTTCTGAAAAGTGTAACCAATGTCAAGTCGACGCCCAGCGTAACGACTGAATTTGTTCACTGTCTGATGGCACCCAGGACCATCCCTTATACTTTACATAAACTATAACAGCAACAATAAATCATTTTCTGATGATACATAAGACGATAAACTTTGAGTTGTTGTTTCTGTCTGCAGCTTTTTAGCTCACAGCGTCCTTCATATAGAAGAACATCCTGCTGCACAATTTCACATCAAGGATCATTAATCTTCTAATTCACAGTTGTTTGTTTTCAGGTCGTGCGGTCGTTCCTGAGTGACTCCATTTACTGCAACATGGGTCTTCTGTTCGTCGGCCCAACGGTTATGTTTGTTAGCAAAGAGCCGAAGGTGAAAGAGATGCTGACGACTCTGAGGGGCAGCCCACAGATGACACTACTGGGTACGTTTATTCAAATTCAGTCTGTCCTCTACAGACGTTCGCTTTGTCTGCATGTCCACTTCCTTAAATGGAAGTGTGTTTTCAAACCCTCCAACACTGAATCTGCACCAAATCAGGCTTATTAACCCAAGTTTGAGAACCGGTGTTAAAAACTGTTTGTAAAATTAAACAGATAATATTTTGCCAGCTGAAGCCTGTCTCAGTAAAACAGATTTCAGATCAGTCCAGAAATGGAAGGAATCCACTGCAAATATCTGTAATGATCTTTGCTCTTCTTTCATCAGGAGCCTGCATAGACAACACGCTGCTGAGTGCACAGGGCATCGTGAGCCTCTCCAAACTGCCGTCAATGACTGTCATCCAGGGCGAGGTGGTGAGCGGGCTCTCCATGCTGACTTCCCACACAGCTTACCTGCTGCAGCGCCACCCGGCCCACCTGTCACAGCTGCTCCAGCAGTATATCAAACAGCAGACCTCGGATGGAAGCGCAGAGGCAGCTCCTAAAGCAGAGGAGGCCACGTAGAGCTACAGAGGACATTACTGGGACTGGTGACTTTCAGATCGAGAGCCAAGTGGAACAGCAAACAACTGTAAATGGACTGGATGCAGTCTTTGTTTTAATTTGGCATCAATCAGACTTTAAAGATTGAAAAGAAAGTCTTGAGTGAAAGAGATAAATTGGTGACACAGTGAGCGTCCACCTTTCGGACACCTCAGCCTGGAGATGTCTGGAGTTATTGGATAAATAATGCTTCAAATGGCTTTATTTAAGTGTTTAATAAATGACTTCAGCGCTTACTTTGGCTCATGTTGTTTCTATGAAGACTTTCTGTTACTGAGGGAACAGTGCGAACAAAGAACAGTGTGAGATGGCATACTTCTGCCACGGTTAAAAGCACACTCCACACCATACATCAGTCAAGTCTTTGGATTTAGAAGGACTAGGATCGCTTGTGATATTCTTCCTATTTCAGTGTGACGGGCATTTGTGATGATATGGTGCAAAATGTCCAATTATTGGGCAAAATCTTGCTCACACTTTCATGCAAATCTGGGCAGAACTTTTTCACAGACACTACCAATCACATATTCCCATTGGTTGGGGTTATAATGCTTCTGTTTACATTTCAGGAGATTTTGTTTAGTACAGTGCCAGATGGAGTTGTGACCAAGTGGCATAATAAAAACAGCTCCAGCCATAATAAACACAACTGGTCACAGATCTGATGAGTTAATCTCCATGTTACAGATTACAGCATGCTAATCTGGGTCAAATGGGAGAGATGCATATTACTCATTTTCACTTCAACAGTATGCACCTCTGCACAAGATCAGGCAAACAGTAGTACAACAATGTAATTTAGAGTGCAGAAAAAAAGGAACCGTATTAAAAAAATTTAAGATTTTATTAACAAAACGACAGAAGCTGCAGAACTGAATCTATTAAAATAAGATATAATATTAAAGAAATGGTAAATCATGGTTTATTGTGAATTATTAAGAATTAAGAAGGCCATATCAAGACATTCTGGTGTTCTCCTGGAAGTTATTAACATATAAAGGTCATTAATATCCCCTAAAATACTGTATTAATAAGTTTGTGTGAAGAGGCTTCAGGTTTTGTCCATTTAATCTCTGCTTCAACCTAAAAATGAGTAAACTGAGTGTTCAGAGAGAGGAGCCTGCTTAGATTCACTCTCCACTACAGCCCTAGACTCTCAGTGTAATTCCAGCTAATGCGGATAATGGGCAGGACACATTGCGCATGGTGCGCGCCGCCTGCGACGCACGGCCCTCCTTGGATTTGAGGGAGCTGCTGTCACCCGCCGCAGAGAGGGCACGGTGGGTGAGATTATGTGATTGTCTCTGGATAAAGCATGCAGTCTGACTTCTTTTGTTTCAACGTTTGTCGCTATTTTTTCATCGAAATGCTGAGTTTTCACAGATTATTAAACGCCAAATAAGACTTTTGTCGGATTAATCAGATGCGGAAGGACAGACGATGAGAGTCGGAGGTGGATTTCAGGTGGGAGTTTTTAAAAATTGCTTTTCCAAAATAGATTTGAAAATACCAGACAAGCAATGTGAAAGTTTGGGCTAAATCTTAATGGAAAACACAGAATATAACCACCAGTATTCTGTG